TTGTGAGTCATGGGAGGAATACAGTTGGGTAACTAGAATTAGTTAGTTATAAAGCACAAAATCTAGATAAAGATGTAAGTGAGATACAGAATATCTTGGTAGGTCACGGTCACGAATAAAGTAGTCTGAGTCTTGAGTCGGAAATTAGTTTAATAAATAAAATTGTATGTGAAATGTATAATAACTTAAAAGAATTAATAAAGACAAGAGGCATAACCTCACCTTAAGTAAAAAAAAAAAACATTTTTATTAATGCAAATAATATGCTAAATGAGCTTTAGTTTAATAATAGCTTAGAACATGAAATCCTTAAATCATTTCTAAAATCCATATCATTATTTGAATATAGCAATAAAATTACCAAAAAACTTGTTTCTTTTTTGGATCCACGTTCTAAATCAGATGATTTTCAATTGTAAATTTGTTTCTGTTATTTAATATTTAAATATTTATGAAGCTACAAATTAACTTTTCATATAATGCATTAGGTGATTATTAAATGTGCACAAAAAAAATGTCAGAACTATTATTCAAAAATTTTGCCAATAATAGCCTGGATGATTCAATACAAGCAGCAAATAGAGAAGTAGAATTTTATATTAATCGTCAACAAACATCATTAAATAGAAATATTGATCCATATAAATGGTGGCAAGGTTCAAAACAAATGCTTCCTGGGTTAGCTACTCTTGCGAGAGAATATTTGCCTATATTAGCAGCTGATAATAAAAATTTGGAAAACAAACTGAATGAATCAAATGAATATATAACAACTCATGATAATAATATGGCAGATAAAATAGCTTTTTTGAAAATACAATGTAAATATATATTGATTTATATTTATAAAAAATATACTACTAAAACTACACATAATAAAATAACAAGATCTCACTTCTTTTAAAATATGTTGAATATTATGTGTTCTACTCAATATTTCAAGTGTAATTATGCTTTTTGGCGTAAGTGACTGCATATATTCATATATATTTTCATTTTTGTATTCATCTACATATTGTAATCCAACCAGGTTGCAAAAATTTTATCGCCAATATTTTGAACATTAACTAATCTATTAAAAGGAATCCTCTCGATTACATCTTCATATTCCGTGGCTGAGAGTTGAACTTTTTTAATACAATCATCAACATCCTTATTTCCATTGGTCCATCCTTGTACTATCTTCTGAGGGTCGCATGTCTGCACATATTCCAAAATCTTTAATTATTTTAGAACTAGATTTATCGACCATAGTTCTAAGATGTTACAGAAAACCAATCATCATTTTGCGTTATATACGGTAATTGTCCGGAGCGAAGCAGATTATGAAAAGTGAAAAAATTGTTTGTCAGTTTGTCCGGCCACATCAAGTGACATATAACCAATCACAATCTACTGATCAACAAGTATGTATAAACATGATGATTGGATACAATATTGATCTTATCACTCCGGACTTATAACAGTTTCTGTTTTCCTAGTAATTATAACAAAATTGAAGAACTTACTTGATAATAATATTAAATGCCTTAGCAGAAATATTAGGTATTTTAATAAAAATAGTATTTATTTTAATGTCTGCTAAAAAAAAAAAAAGATTTTAAATCAAGATTTTTACACGAATGTACACGATTGTGCATACTGCGGGAATTGTATTGTCGGAATTGTATTGTCGTAAATATTGTTTTTTACGGGATTGTAATACAAAATCAAGATTTTACGGAATTGTATGTACGTACGTTCATTGAATATTTTTTATATTACATAACGGGTGCCGGTCAAAATCCCGACAAGCACAATCCCGACAGGTCATAATCCCGACAAAAAAATCCCGACAGTCAAAA